ACATATATACATACTGACATACACACACAGACATACATACATACTGACATATATACATACTGACATACACACACACATACAGATAGACACATACACACATACACAGACATACATACTGATAGATATATAAAGACAGACAGACATACATACACACACACATACATGCAGACACATACATATACACACACCTCATTTATCAGCCACCCTCCTCTTCCTTACCTTGCAGGAGGGTGGCTAGGGATGATGGGAGCGGATGCCTCTCCTCGGCTGTCTCTCCCCCCGCGCGGAGTAAGCTGGAAGGAAGTGAGGGGCCCGGTCGCGCTATTACACGGCCATAGCGCTGACTGGGCCCCTGAAGATATAGGGCTTATCGGGTGGCCCTAAAGGCCACCTGATGAGCCGCAGGGCAGATGCACCTGTGGCAGTTTCGCCGCACCACGTTGTCACCCCCTGATGGCGGCCCTGAGTAGAGTAGTATGTAAAAAAAAAAAATCTTTTATTTTTTTATTTTTTTTAAATCAATGGGCCTATTCCATGGGCTTAGACCTAGAGCTGCAGCTCCAGCAGCCCCTATGTTAATCCGGCCCTGATGGCCATGTCATAATGTCAGGATTATTATATGATCCAGCACGTAGAATTGTGATACAGGGATGACTAATAGGTAATGTATGACCGGGCCTTAGAATGGCTGGACTAACGTACCAAAGAATAGTCAAGGTGCTAGCCGAGGTCACGGCAACGCTCAGATCTCACGAGAGGAACCCGGGGGAGCTGCTGGCTAGAGCTCCCCGGGTCCTCTCCTGCCTTCGCACGGGTATGGAATGGGGTACTGTTGTACTCAGGAGATGTTACTGAGTATAGTAAAGATCAATTTATTACAGTGGGACAAATGAGATTTAAAAATTTTAAAAAACTGAAAGGAGCACTATAGGGTCAGCATCACAAACATGTTTTCCTGACCCTGTAGTGTTTAAAACACTAACTAGCCCCCCTGCTAATTTGCCCTCCTAAATATAGTAAAATATTAACCTGTGCTGGTGCTGGCTCTGCTACTGATATGCCTCCTTGGCTGACATCATCAGAAGTAATTTTCTTAGCCAATCACAATGCTTTTCATTAGGAAATCTTTGGATTGGCTGAGATTGTCAATTTGGCCAACACACACTCTGATCAAGTTGGACACCATATCTGAGAATTTCCCCTGCCGGATAGCAAGCAGGCTAAAGAAGTTAGAGACAACTACATTCAGTCAAAGTATTCAGGAAATTTTATCTGGTTATTACCTAAAGCAGAATACTACTGACTCTACTGTGGCCCTTAGCTCTTGACACTCCAGAGTCTAGAACAGCGTACACATAAAAATAAATTTTTTAATTTTATAAGGCTACTTAAAATGTAAGTAACCCTATTTAGCAAACAAATACGGGGATTCAGTTCAACCATATGGCCATATTGAGTTCTGCCATATTGAGTTTCTTGTAGTTGGCCACCAGGTTTGCACACATCTCAGGAGGGATTTTGTCCCACTCCTCTTTGCAGATCCTCTCCAAGTCATTAAGTTTTCGAGGCTGACATTTGGCAACTCGAAACTTCAGCTCCTTCCACAGATTTTCTATGGGATTAAGGTCTGGAGACTGGCTATGCCACTCCAGGACCTTAATGTGCTTCTTCTTGAGCCACTCCTTTGTTACCTTGGCTGTGTGTTTTGGGTCATTGTCATGCTAGAATACCCATCCACAACCCCTTTTCAATGAGGGAAGGAGGTTCTCACCCAAGATTTGACAGTACATGGCCCCGTCCTTTGTCCCTTTGACGCGGTGCAGTTGTCCTGTCCCCTTAGCAGAAAAAAAAAACCAAAGCATAATGTTTCCACCTCCATGTTTGACAGTGGGTATGGTGTTCTTGGGGTCAGGGCAGCATTCCTCCTCCTCCAAACACAGCGAGTTGAGTTGATGCCAAAAAGCTCGATTTTGGTCACATCGGACCACAACACTTTCAACCAGTTCTCCTCTGAATCATCCAGATGTTCATTGGCAAACTTCAGACAGGCCTGTACATGTGCTTTCTTGAGCAGGAGGACCTTGCGGGCGTTGCAGGATTTCAGTCCTTCACGGTGTAGTGTGTTACTATTTGTTTTCTTAGTGACTATGGTCCAAGCTGCCTTGAGATTATTAACAAGATCCTCCCATGTAGTTCAGGGCTGATTCCTCACCGTTCTCATGATCATTGATACTCCACAAGGTGAGATCATGCATGGAGCACAAAACTGAGGGAGACTTACAGTTATTTTTCTTCCATTTGCGAATAATTGCACCAACTGTTGTCACCTTCTCACCAAACTACTTGGCAATGGTCTTATAGCCTATTCCAGACTTGTGTAGGTCTACAATCTTGTCCCTGACATCATTGGACAGCTCTTTGGTCTTGGCCATGATGGAGAGCTTGGAATCTGATTGATAGATTGATTGCTTCTGTGGACAGGTGTCTTTTATACAGGTAACGAGTTAAGATTAGGAGCACTCCCTTTAAGAGAGTGATCCTAATCTCAGCTCCTTACCTGTATAAAAAACATAGGAGCCAGAAATCTTGCTGATTGACAGGGGATCAAATACTTATTTCACTCATTGACATGCAAATAAATTTATAACTTTTTGACAGGCACTTTTCTGGATTTTTTTGTTGTTGTTTTTTTTTTTTTGTTATTCCGTTTCTCACTGTTAAAATACACCTACCATTAAAATTATAGACAGATCATTTCTTTGTCAGTGGATAAAAGTTTAAAATCAGATGGGGATCAAATACTTTTTTCCCTCACTGTACACTAATTCCAATGTGGGAGACAAATAGTGCTAATGCTAAATGATATAAAGTGTATTTTAATATTCTTTTGTAAGAAAATTGTAAATAAATATGATGCAAAATGAATGTGATAAAAAACACAATATAAAAAAAATGCAGTGTAAAAACTAAATAATTAAAGTAAAAGTGCTTTGATGTAAATACTCACAATGCATATAACATATCTGTTCTATGCCAAATTAAAATTATAATTAAAGTGACATTACTATCATAAACCTCCTCAAGTTTACACTTTCCTGTGGTTACCTCCGAAGGGACATCTGAAGCTGGGAGGCTGGACAGGTTGCTAACCCCAAAAGGAATCTGGTCTGATCTCCAAACTTACATAGTAAAGACAAAAAAGGGAACATGCATTTCTCAGTGATGGTATTGCCGTAGAGACCACAATTTATACATACTACAGATTAAGGAACAGAGCACCATCACTAATTCACAGTACATCAATATCGATGAGACCTACACTACAAATTAATAAAATAAACCACTGAAGTTCCTACACATGCGGCAAGTAATGTCAGAGCTCCGTAACTTCAGCAAGAAACGTGCCCGGCCATCCCCAGCATAGACTCCCCTTCCTGGCGACTATGATTTTTTTACAATTTTGGGCATCCTCCCAGCCGGCCCGGCGGGATTTATCAGGGAAGGTGAGGACCTTCCCTAACTGCTGTTAATAGCAAAATGCCGCCCCTGTCAGCGTGCCATCTGGATCCATGGCCCCACCATTACTCTGTTAACTTCACCAATTCGTGGGATGATAATACAATGTCTGTGGGCAGGCACAAGGGGGGCTTTTGATCACCTATTGCCAGAGGGGCTTTGTGAATTGAGAGTCCATCCCTGATAAAGTAACACCAGTTTGGCAACTGTCAAAAGCATTGTACCTTGGATAACCAATGGGTGTCAGTGTCACACACGCAGAATCTTGATCCCATTAACATTATGCTTGTTGGAACAGGATGCACTTTGCAAATAAGGAATAATAATAGAGTTGAATGGTTTTCATATCATTTTTTTTTTTAATATCTCAATTGTATAGACCATGGAATAAAAATTGCAACCTCATAAATACAATCTCAGAGTTGATATACCATACATGGAGCCATTTAAAGGAACTATCCATTCACCATAAAAAAATGTAATCTAAATTAAGTTATTATGGTGCCAGGAGTGGCCCCAGCACTCTCTTACTTTAAGGGGTAACCCTCTTGAATGGTTTAACATCAAAGGCTGCCTCCAGATTCTGAAAACTGAGTTACAGGAAGCACAGAGTCAGCTGGCCCACTAAGACAATCAGTAGCTCCCCATTCATAAATAAAGGTATTTACCAGCCAATCAGGCTGACTTCTCTAGCCGGTCAGCGGCGTCCCTGCTGGGCAGAACTCCACCCTTCCTGTAACTCCGTTTCAGTAGCAGATGCCACTTGGGGGACCTGGAGATCGGCACTGGTAGCAGTATTTGGGGTTAAACTGTTTTTACAGTAAAAGAGCACCCAGGGCCTCCTGGCACCACAACATCTTCACTTAGATAAAGTTGTTATGGTAACCAGAGTGTTCATTTAAGCACGAATATTTACTAATTACACAATAATTGGAGGATTCAAAAAGTCCTTTTTTTCTAGCAAATTGTTAGTCTAGGCAGATCTACCAGAGGGACCAACATATAAGAAGTCACATAGATGACTGGGGTGGCCAGGTGTTAATGACTGTAACTCCAGTGGCTGTGGAGATCTAGCCCAGGCTGGAAATAGAGCTGTTAAGGGTAGATAGATAAAGCTAGATAAGATAGAAAAACCTTCTGAAACTCCATTAAAATGTATAAACCTTAAAAGCTTAAATTATAGCAGTTGAAATATAATGCATATTTCTGTAACAGAACCCCAGCACCATATA